ATCATATCGAGCTAGCTCTTATCCTGTGGTTGTCAAAGTAAGAAAGAAGATAGAAGGGATAAAGCGTGCTAATTCTCAGTCGACTGAGAATTAGCTATGTCTCAGTCGACGAGATTTGTTATATAATTTGATCGATCGATGATTTGTCGCTGTATTCCTCTCGTCCAAAACGGGCTTTGTCCCTGCGGGCAGATGGGCAGAGCGTGCCTTCTATGGGCTTTTGCAATTGTATCTGGCCGTGGGCTGTGGCTTGTGGCTTGAGGTACTTTCCAATTTCTCTTTTTTGTTTTTTTTCCTCATATGTCTCTCATGTGAACATTTTGTATTTTCTTTGCTTTTCATTAGGATTGTGTGTACAGTAGGAAGCTCACTGGAGCAGCTCACTCTGTGTACACAGGTACCTTTTTCCTTTTTATATTTTCTTTTTTCCTTTTGTGTTTTAGTGTATTTATTTTTCATTTTAGTTTTATAAAACTATTTTCACTTGTATTTCTATTTTTTATATTTTTTACTTTCTTATTTCTAGAAAAATGGATGATCTAATTTTTATTAGAATAGACATTTTGACACACATTTTGTAAAAATATTATTTTTTGATACTAAATCTCAATCGGTTGAGACTTTGTGAAGTCTGAGTAATGGATTTTCCTGTTTCTGCTTGTTAAAGTGCGTGATTAACTTGTTTTTTCTTCTATTTCTTTTCGGGTTAGGCTCTTTTCTTTTGTTCTTTTAGATTTCTTTTTTTCTGTCAGTTGTTGGTTCTGGCGTGCTGGACCGGCCCAGGGATTTCCTTTTTTTGGCTTTTTTCCTTTCCTTTTTTACATTTTTGCATTTCTTGTTGACTGTGAGTGTCGCCCCCGACTGCAATTGCATGTCTTCAACGCAACCGCAACTTGGTGTTGTTTTGTTGGTGGAGGGGCGGTTGCATGTCTGCCACCAATACGCAACTGCAAGTGTCACCCCCAACTACAACTCCATGTCTTCAATGCAAGTACAACTTGATGTTGTTTTGTCTGGGGAGGGTTTGTTGCATGTCTGCCACCACTAAGCAACTGCAAGTGTCTCCCCCAATTGCAACTGCATGTCTTCGACGCAACTGCAACTTGTGTTGTTTTGTCGGTGGAGGAGCAGTTGCATGTCTGGCACCAACACGCAACTATAAGTCTCGCATCCGACTACAATTGCATGTCTTCAACGTAACTGCAACTTGGTGTTGTTTTGTTGGGGAAGGGGCAGTTGCATGTCCGCCACAAACACACAACTATAACTTGGTTGCATCTCGACTTTCATTTTTGTTGTACGGGGAGAGGCGCCAGTTTGCATGTCCCACAACGGGCACACAACTACATGTCTTCTAGCTTGGTTGTAACTCGGGACCTTTGTTTTTGCATGAGGGGACAACGTTGAGAGAGATGGGGCTCAGTTGCATGTCACACACTAGGCATGCAACTGCATGTCTTCTAACTTGGTCGCAACTGCATGTCTTTTTATAACTTGGTTGTAACCGACTTTCATTTTTGTTGTACGGAGAGAGGTGCCAGTTTGCATGTCCCACAATGGGCACGCAAATGCATGTCTTTTAGCTTGATCGCAATTGCATGTCTTATAACTTGGTTGCAACTCGACTTCTTTTTTGTTGTACGGGGAGAGGGGCCCAGTTGCATGTCCCACACTAGGCACGCAATTGCATGTCTTCCAACATGGTCGCAATTGCATGTGTTATAACTTGCTCGCAACTCGACTTTTCATTTTTTTGTAGGAGAGAGGGGCCAATTTTGGAGGGGGCGTCGAGAGAGATGGGTCCAGTTGCATGTCCCACAATAGGCACGCAACTACATGTTTTCTTACTTGGTCACAACTGGCGAGACCTTTTGTTTTGTCGGAGGGGGTGGCGGCGAGAGAAGAGGGGGGCCAGTTGCATGCCCCACACTAGGCACGCTACCACTTGTGTTTTAACTTGGTCGTAATTGCATGTCTTACAACTTGGTCGCAACTCGACTTCCTTTTTTTGTATGGGGAGAGGCGCCAGTTTGCATGTCCCACAACAGGGGGCACGCAACTGCATGTCTTTTAAGAACGGTCGCAATCGCATGTGTTATAACTTGCTTGCGCTCAACTTTTCATTTTTTGTTGTACGGAGAGAGGGGCCAATTGCATGTTCCACACTAGAACACGCAACTGCATGTCTTTTAACTTGGTCGCAACTGGGTGGTCCAGTTGCACGTCTACTACTAGGCACGTAACTACAAGTGCCTCCCTGGATTGCAACTGCAACTCAGTTGTGCTTTATTTCGATGATGGGGCAGTCGCATGTCTATTTGATA